CGGTAACTCATTATCCTCGGGGAGCATTTCATTAAGCAAGCACAACAACTCTGTAAAACTCTTATCACTCCACCCATTAGCTGCCTTCAGGTTGATTAGTTTTAAAATTGCTGTCAAACGGGAGAAGTTCTTGCAACCACCGTAGAGAGGCTTTTCTGCATCAACAGACAAGGACTCACAAACCTTATTTACATGTGCTTGTTCAAATGCCTCTGCTCCGACATCATTAATCATGTCTTCTACCCGATCATACATATCTGCATCATCTGCATCAATTTCTTCAGTTTGGGATGCACTCGACATATCAAATTCGCCGTGCCAAATCCACCGTGTATAACTCTTGTTGAAACCATCGCAAAGGACATGCTCTCTGATTTCTTCAATACATAGTCGTCGATTGTTCAGGCAATTCACACACGGACATTAAAATTTTCCATTCATACTTTCAGATTCATGTCGCTTAGCAAACTCCAAAAAGTCTTCTACTCCATTCTCATATTCAATACTTGTGCGCATAGCATTTATCCACTTACGATCCATACTTCCTAAAATGTACATGTTAAACTGACAATTCGAATAAGGACAATATACTGAGAATTATATTTTAGGAAAACAATGTCACACAAAACAAAATATAAGACAATAATATATAATGAAAATATGAAACTCAGATTAAGTTGAAATATCACATGTCTTGATTATCACTGTAAAGAGAGTAATGTTTTTATTTTCGGGAATGTATAGTTAAATTAGATATTCGTTATGGTACTTTGGAGTTAATCTTAAAAAACAAACAATGAAAATTTATCATGCATAGTCCCTAGTCCCCCTTAACTTTGATTTATTTAATTATCCTCACCACCACACATCTGTGCAAGACAACTACTACTTGCATTATTTATCTCAATTGTTATTTATTGAACTGGTGATTTTTATTTTTCATATATCTAAAAAATGAAGAAAAAAAAAGTCACTTTCACTCAAAGTTTTTACAACACAGTCCCATGATATATTGCCATATGGCAGGGCAAAAAGCACCCATTTTAAATGCTACATTATTTTATAATA